TTTATTAATAATATATACCTTGCAAATAAAATTATTTAAATTTAATTTTTAAGGAAAATAATATTTCCTTTTAGCACTAATTCACCTATTAAATTGATAATAAGTTTAATATAAATGTAAAGAGCAAATCCCAAAATTAATATACAAATTTTGATCTATGCGGAATTTATTTTTTATGGAGTTTTTATATTAGCACTATTGTTAATGTTGTATAGGTCGATGCTCACCCTTCCAAGCCGAGCTATGGGCTTTACTCGATGGTTTTAACATTGCTTGGAGCCATGACGTGCGATTGTTGGAAGTGGAGATGGACAATCTTAAAGCTGTTTGCAGGCTTAACTCTCCTGCTCAAGCAAACGAGTCAACTATTATCAGAAGCTACCTCAGTTTGCAATGGAGGTCCGCGGTCAGATATTGCCCTCGCAAAATCAACAAATTGTTGATGCCTTGGCTTATCTTGGGGGTCACCTAAACTTCGGATTGTCGATCTTACAACAGCCACCTATAGAAATTCAAAACGTTCTCAATCTGGACAAATCAGCTCTGAGAAGAAGACCCAGACACTGTTAGTTCAATGTCCCCTTTTGTACCCAAAAAAATAATGTATCATTCTCTTATGTCTTCATGGCTTCTCCGAGTTGGCTGATATATGCAGACGGTATCCATTGGTCTTATCAGGGTTGCTCGATATATGGGATGAGCTCCTCTTTACACATTATTTCACATTCTTCTTTTTCTTTTCCTTTTCCTTTTTTAATTTTAATAAAACTATAAATGTGAATAGAAAGAGTGCCCTTGAGTCTGTGCAACAGTTTGAGAAAAACTCGAGTAATTGTCATCCATTACTTAAGTAATCAGAAACATTTTAGTTAAATTATTTTGGTCCCTGAAAGACTGCTTTGGAAGAAAAATGTCTAAGGATCAATATTAAAAAGACATAATATATATGTTCAAACTTCAGTGGGAACCAAACCGATGAAGATGTAGAAGTAAGCATCGAAGGACACGTTCTCCCCTCAAAGGATTGTTTCAAGTACCTAGGGTCTATGATACATAAAGATGATAGTGTAGATGATGACGTTACACCGTATAAAGGCGGGATGACTATAGTGGAGGGCTGCTACTGGAGTTTTGTGTGACAAGAAGGCGCCTCTAAAACTTAAGGGAAAATTTTATAGAATGTCAATTAGACCATCGCTACTGTATGGATCAGAATGTTGGGCAATCAAGAAGGATCACATAAGGAGGATGGAGGCCGCATGAATGAGAATGCTTCGATGGGCATGTGGTAGGACTCTGTGGGACATGACACCAAACTCTGCAATTAGGATGTCCTTGGGGGCGGTGACTGTATCCGAAACATTGAAGGAGGGAACACTACGGTGGTTTGGGCATGTCCTTAGGCGACAACCGTCGGATACGGTCAGGAGGGTAGAGTCAATTACAGTCGAGGGTGCTAGAAGGAGAGGACGACCAAGGAGGAAGTGGTTAGAGTACTTGAGATCAGATTTGAATGATTTAACCCTTACCGAGGACATGACATCTAATAGGAAATTATGGAGACTTAAGACCAGGGTAGCCGAGTAGTTGTGGGTCACAGTCATAGGGTGTAGTATCTCTGTCTTCTTTCTAATGCCTCTGTAGTAATTTCCCATTTGACTTTATTTTAGAATTTATGAAGGATTAGAATTAGGGTAGCGGAATAGTGTTGCTTTAGTTTAGGTTTTAACCCATTTGACTTTATTACTTCTCATAACTTGCCATCGATAACTTTTGTGTATCATTCTCTTCATGTTTTCTCTTTCTAAATTTAGCCGGGAATTACGTTACTGTCTATATGCAGAGATTTTTACACAGAGATTTATTTGCAGAGATTACTTCCTATTACATACGCACGTATGAAAACTGCATATGATGACTGTTCAACTATGTATTTATTAATTTATTTATTTATACATACATTGTATTTTTATCTTTATTTTTAATTTTTCTGACTGCCGGAGGTCTTCTTCGGAAGTTGTTCTCAACCTAACGTTTGGAGCAACCTACTATCCTACCTCCCCTTACCTCATTGCATATGGAAATATAATTTTTTTTTGTATTTTAGTCCCTCTATAATGGTCAAATTAAGCCACGACTTTAAAAAAACTGATAATTAAGTTAGTCTGTTAACCAATGTTAAATTTTCAAACACTTAATTTTTTTTTGGGATAAAATGTATATGTTATGGTCGAAAAGCAGAACAAACAGGACCAAAGCCCCTGTACACAAAATCAACCCCCCAACTATACCCCAAAGCAGCCCCAATCACCGAAACGCCCTTTACACCCCAAAACAAAATAACCAGTCCCCATAAACTCAGCACAATCAATCAATTAATGGGATATATATTGGATAAACTACATTGGTGATCCCTTTTATTTTTGGTCTATCTTATATTGGTCAATGGTTTTACAAAAGTTATACTTTGGTCACTTATTTTCGAACAGTCTTATTTTGGTCACTGAGCCATTGACACCCGTTAATTTGCTGATGTGGCATGTCAGTGAAAATGATTAATTCATAAAGGCGATACGGAATCCAATTACAAGCTGATTTTGCAAGTTTTTGCATTCAAACATGGATCTTATATGTGCCATTAAAGGAAAGAATTTTGAAACTTCTATTAAAATATGGATTTAATCTTTATTTAGCCATGCAGTATCATGCCAATGAGTTGCTGCCTTTGAAAGATGAGCTTTTAATTGAAAAGGTTATGTCATATCATTCTAAGTGCATAAATGGCCTTGAGAGAGCCAATGTGGTAGACAAAGAAACCAGAAAGTTTCCGAGAGGATTGACTCATTTTTTATAGGTGAACAACCAACAGCTTAATTGAATCAACGGGTTTGTGGAATTCATGATATTTTCAGTGAAGCAGACATTATATTCACATTCAGGAGGTCAAAAAAGAGTGAATTGAAAATTTTGAGTCTAACAGTCGTCAGCGACAATGATCGATGATCACCGGTGATGACAACTGACGATGATGAGTAGCGGCTGACGGCGAGAAGTTTAACTAGATTTAGGCATGAAACTAATATTTTATCCAAAATTTAGGGTTAAATTAGCATTTTATGTAAAGTTTAAGGTCAAATTAGTATTAGATCTAACATTCAATGGTTGAGTTAAAATTTAATCATTTCTGCTAATGTGTCACGTTAGTAAAATAACAAGAGTTAGCAGCCGAGTGATCAAAATAAGACGGATCGAAAACAGAAGTTGCCAAAACATGATTTTTCCAAAATCAGTGACCAAAATAAAATAGGCTAAAAACAAAGTGATCGCCAGAGTAGTTTAACTAAATATATTGGTGTCAATTATGTTCCAAACAATGGTCGGCCATTATACTTTAGAAAAGCCATTTGTGTCTCGAGCAACGTTAAAGTTCACGGAAGAAAAGAAAAGAATCGATGGAAAAGCAGAAGTATAAAACATGTCGCTTTATTTATCGTTTGATACCCCAATTGCTTTCTCTTGTCCAATTTGCCATTCACAAAATGGCTTTTTTTTTCTTTGAATCCACCATTTCATTCATTAAACTTAAAGGAAATGGATTCATTTATTAGCATCATCATTTTGTCCATTTGATGACCTCTACTTTCTCAAAAGCAGCTTCTTCCTCTCTTGCTATCTCTTCTCTGTCTATTAATCGCAGTATCCATTCTCTCTCCTCTTCATGGCTTCTTCTTCTTCTTGTCATTTGAAGTATTAAATTTTCTTGAGCTTCAGATGTGAAGACACGCGCCTTAGCTTCAATGGAAATAATAACATTTTCGGTAATTATTTTTCATAACTGTATATTAAGGCTAACATAGCTAATACATCCCGATACGTTGAGTGGTCCACCGGTTCTTGAAATTGATTCTCAAATCGACAAGTCAAAATGAATTGAAACACAAATTTATTGGCGGGATCCAATGGAATAAACTATCTATACTTCTGTATTCATATTAATTATAATGAGCTTGAATTTCAAAATAAAAAAAATAATAAGTTTAAATGAGTTTTATATAAATTTTTTATTAAATTAAAAAATAATTAATCACTTTAAACTTTATTTAATAAAAATGTGGTCACTTTCAATTAATTTTCACACTTTTCGTCACTAACGACAGTTAAAATTTCAATGACTAAACATTTAAAAGTCAATAAGATAAGTGATTATATTTTAATTGAATAAAAACAAATATGATCATGCCTTAATTAAATAAATACAAAATTAACAAAATATTATATTTTTTGAACTTAATGAAAAAATATACAAAATTTAAACGAGAATAATCTTCTTTTACTATTTATTCACGTGTCAACTTAATTAAAGAATGATCAAAACATTACATTTTATAAATAATAATTAATATTTTTTATCTTTATATATATTATATAATCTTTTAAATAAAAACAACTAATATGAGCTAAACACGTGTTAAAAAGTTAAGGTTGATCGGGCATTGAAACTCTCCAATGATCTTCAATATATGAACATGTGTGAATGTCTGTGTCTCTTATTCAAACCGGTCTTCCTTTAAACTAATATATTAATTAGAGTACTCTTAGCTGTCACAATACTTTAAAACGTTAAATATATCAATTCAATATATTAATAAGATTATTATTACAAATATCAATATTGAAATCGAAATCAAAATAATAATTATAAAAAAATATAACAGTTAAATGATCAACATAATAACTAAAGAAAAATAAAATAACTATAAATTATACATCAACTATAAGACAATTATATTAATTAAACGAAATATTCAGAAAACTATAAAAATAAAATAATTATATTAAAAATATAGTAAGTAAACAATAAATAAAATAACTAAACAACAAAATTAATTAAATGAACAACATAACTACAAGAATATATTAATTATATGAAAATTTATAGTGATGGAATCAGTCGATTTAAAAAAAAATTAAAACTAAAAATTAAACTCGAATTTTATTTTCACATCACATATATTTTCAATAAACTTGCTTGTTGACGGTAAATGGAGATCAAAAGGTATTTATAAAGGGAATGGCATACAATTCTTGTAAAACAACCTTTGAGATCCATTTGTAAGTTGCCTCAGTATAATGTAAACCATCCCAATTAACATGTAAAGAAGGGTCATCGCAGCAGGTTGTTAATGGCGGATCCCCGCACGCCATTGATGAACTGTAATTGTATCGACCTCCTCCTCCGCAACAAGCTTTTAGTGTTTCAGTAAACCCTGGAATCATTACAAACAAAAGCATGTAAATGATTGTGTAGATTATACATACATCGGTTTAGATAGAGACCGTGTGCCTTACCAAATTGGTTCTGGGAATAGTAAAAACGCATTACAGTGTTGTAATAGTCTGCGTAAACGATGTTAACATGTGGATGAAGCTCGCGGATTCGATTGAGTTGTTTCTGAAGCAATTCATTGTGGAGTTGGGAGAACTGGTTCAGCCATGTTATACAACCAGTGTGGGGATCGTAATCGGCTATATCGGAACCTTGAAAATAGGTGAGATATGCCGGTGAGCATCCGATTGGAAGGTTTCCCGGGACCAACATTGTGACTGCCCCTAACTCTATCAACTCCTGCATATCATTGCCAAGTAAAAACTTTGTTGATGTGAAGAAATTCTGTAAAAATTTGCCATTAAAACTTATGATGATCTGATTCGGATGAGTTGAATTATAGTTTTCTGTATCTTTCAAAATAATTTGATGAGAAGCCAAATTTCTTACAGTGATTGCTTCAGCAATTGTATGAACAACAAGAGGAACAAAGTGTGACATCTCCTTGGGATTTATCCCCTGAAGGAATGCATGGTTGTAGTCATTTCCTCCAATCTCTCCCATCACAATCAACGAGTTCTGAAGGAGTTCTTTACAATCTGTGAATCAAAAGCTGATTGGGATTTAGAAACAAACATAATTAAGGTAACTTCATATCCCCTTATTTTCCTTCCAACCAAACAGGATCTAAAGAAGACTGGAGAAGTAAAAAAAACACTTCACCTGAAGAAGATGAGCAAAGAGAATGCAAAACATCTTTGAAAAATCCCAATTCATCACCCAGAGATATATTCGTAAAGGGATTACGGATTCCTCTTTCTTTGAAGAACGCGTCATCAAGAGCTGTGGCACCCACAACAGCAAAATTCACACCTTTCTGAAAGTGTTTTCCCCTTCCATTTTTGCCTTCAAAATACGGCGGTAAAAATGGAAGTCCAAACTCTTCAGCTGCAAAGCAAACCCAATCGAAGAAAATCAATGAAAATGAAACCATAAAATATAAACACAACCCATTTTAAAGAATGTAAAAGTACCAATGAAATCTATAACTAGGCGGCCATCGGAGCATCTCCCAGTCGGGTTATTGAAAAAGGTTCGTCCATAAGGGAGGAAATCAAAGTGGGAAAGTTTTCTGGATTCTGAAAGTGAAAGTTGAAGCAAGTTGCCTGTATCAGCTAAGGAATCACCAAAGCTGAAGATTGATGTAAAGCATCCATTGACATGTGAGATTAGGGTGATGGATATGCTGAAAATAAAGCTGATGATCAAATGGCGTTTCAACAAGCAAAATGATGAAGAATAACCCATTTCAGAAATGCCTGGAAAACAAAACTGGTTGCTGCAGATCTGAGCTTTAATGGAATAGTTGGGTTTTTTTATAAATAAATGGAGTTGGTAAACTTTGACTGGAATAATATTTAGGGTAAAATACACAAATAGTATCCTAATTATAAGGTGTTGTTTTGTTGAGTCCGGATAATAAAAATTATAAAATTGTCTTCTTATTCTATTGACTATTAAAAGTTATAAAATTATCACTAGACTATTCATATATTCCAATCTCGTCTTTTTTTGATAAAAAATTGATAATCCTCTGAGCTAAACGTTATCATGTTGTCTAAGATATGATAATCGTTTGAGATTTTGTGATCATATTTTCGTATATCTCAATCATCATGTTAATGTCTAGCTAAGAATGTCGTCAATTTTTTAACAGAAAATGACGAATTTGGAACATATGAATAGTCGAGTGACCATTTGTAACTTTTAATAGTTGGGGGACTCAACAAAGCAACATCTTATAATCGGTTTTATTTTTGTACTTTTCCCTTATATTTTTAAAATAATTGGTCATTAAACTATTATCAATTTTCGATTTTGATAATTAAAATCGTCAATGTTATATTTTTGTCATTAAAAAATTAACAAAGACAATGATATGATCTGATAAAATAATAATTTTAGTCTTTAAAATTTATATATTCTATTAATTTGAATTTAATAATATTTCAATAAATATTAATATTTAAAATTATACTAAATTAGTTTTGATTTTAATTTAAAATAATTTAATAAATTTAACTCTGATTGATGAAACATGTCATCTTTATTAATAAAAATTAAGTAATATATTAAATAAGTTTATAAAAATATTGTTAAAGTTAAATTATGGTTAGTATAAAAATTTTAATGAATTATAAATTGGATTTTGAACGAACATGTGACCTAAAACATAAATAGATAATTATTAACAATTAGTTGATCTAGTAGGATGCGACACTAGATTTTTTAAATAAGATCAAGGGTTCGAATCCTAGTATTAGCGAATGAAGCAAACTGGGTTGGGAGGGTCGCCCTCACCTCTGCAATACCCGGTCTAAATTTGTATCGGATACCAATGATTAATTCAAAAAACATAAATAAATAATTTACCACTACATCAAATTAAGTAATTGTTACATGCGTAACAAAAATAATAGTTAGTAATTATATGTTTTAATAAATAATAAAGAAAATAATAAATTTAAAATAAATTTTTATATTTAATAATAATAATTTTAAAGGTAATATTTAACGATTAAATTTTGATTTTAAATGTGAGTTCTTTTTTATTTTCTTATAATATAAATTAGCTTTAGATAGATGGAAGAGTAAGATAAAGCAAATTAAATGGCTTTGATCCCTAACAAAATCTACTTACATCAATGTCTAGTAATTAATTTTATGATTTTGTTAAAAAGTAGATCTTAAATTAATATAGTATAAATTAATAATATATTAATTTTATATAAAATTTGAAATGCTTTAAATATGATTATAAATATTAAGGTTATCTATATGTACCGATCTCGGTGGTAAAAAAATTATTGTTATTTTTTAAGACCTTGGGTTCGAGCATCACGAATGTCATGATTTAAGTGTTCAATGTCAATGATTGAGAATTATCTTTGAACAAATATTATTTTATACTTTATATTTTTTTTCTTAAAAATCACAATTTAATTAAAATAATGCTTTTGTAGAATATATAACAGTTACACACCAAAACGACATGTTTGATCATCTTATTGAAAGGTTGGATTTATTAAATTATTTTTTAAAAATCAAAATAAAAATATAAAAATCAAATGAATTGAATTTTTAAATATTGAAGATTTATTAAATTATTTCAAATTATCTTCTTGTTAATGGAATATATAAAATTTAAAGACCCAAACTATTATTATATCTTACCACGTCTTCATTTATGTAAATTTTAACAGATACTTGATTGTCAGTAATCAAATGAGAGAAGAATGTAACATTATTGACGATTATATACATAAATAGGGAAAAAAAATAGTTCCGTCGACAACTCCATTGACATACTAAACTGGTATATAACACGGGACAAAACTGGATTTGTTGAAAAATGAAAGTGTCTGCTGTGTAATGTTGGGGATAAACTAATACAATGTCAAAAGGAGAATCATATGGTATTTTATAAAATTTACGAGTGCATCGAGTTCAATAACTTGAGAGCAAGTTCTTCTTGTTCGGCCAGAGAAATGGAATCAGCATTGACACCGGCCGAATCAACCTTAATTTCTTCCTTTTCATCCTCACTATCACTATGGAAGTATATTTTCGACCTTTTCCGTTTTTTGTTTGCATCTGGTTCTCCTGAGTCAGAAACATCAACCTCTTCATCATCATCCCTCTGCCCTTTCTTCAACTTCATCTTTTTCTTCATCCGTTCCTCCCTAAGCCGTTGACGCTGTAGAAGCTTGTCTCCCTTATCTACCTGTTTCAGCTCTTCCCTCATCTTCTTGTAGAACTCGTTCTTTTTGTCTGCAATACGGAAATCATTAGTTAAATGAACATCAAGAAACAAGCATTCCGTTCAAGATCAAAGCACATAAAACAATCTATTTGATCGTCTTTATGCCAGGGGACGAACAGCTATTTATAAAAAGTAGCATCAAATTTAGAATGACATAGCATACTACTTAAAACCATTCAAAGGTTTAGTTGGGAAAAGAACTTGATTCATCCTAAGATTTCATTTTTCTCCTTATTACATGAGGACAACAGGAGATCAAGTCAATTAACGGATTATATATTAAAAGTTGCAGAAGAGTAGCCTCTAAAAGTCTAAACTATGTCACTCCGACTCAATTGTGAATGCCGAGTACAGGTATGTGTCTGACACAGATATGTTCCACTTTTTCAAAGTTTTTCCATATATAAAAATCATATTTCCAAACCCATATCCAATCATGTGTCAAACATGGGTATAGAACTCTGGGCATTTCAAGAAAATAAAAGGTCCAAGCAAAATAAGCTTATAAATTGCAATACACAGAACTGACAAATGAATACCTTCGTCAAGTTGTATCTCGCCACTAATCTTCTCTGCCAACATGGCAAGTGGAGCCTGTGTGTTGCCTTCCTCATCAAAGACAACCCTTGTCCCCACAGGCCTATGAACATTGATCTTCAGCTTCTTTTTCTTCAAAACCCGTGTTGCTGGCCTGAAGAAAAGAAACCCAATTCAAAAACTGGTTTCTAGTAAAGGAGTACAAATAGAAAGAATCATAAAGGTATTAGGGGGTTTAGTCCAGAAGTAAAAAGAGACAAGAATCTCTGCAAGTTACCACCTAACCAGGTGGTTCTATGAGAAAAATCAGCTATATCAAAAGAATTTACTATTCAACCAGCCTAGTATGTAAATAATATTTTCCATTAATGCAAGGCCATCTTTATTGTTGCATTCTATGTAAGAGTATAAAAAAGGGGGATACATGATATCTCCTATCTCACTAGCATTCCCTTCTCCAACGTCTGGTGCATCCTTGAGAAGGAAATCTTTGTCCTCTTTGTTGTCTTCGAAATCTTCAACAAGTAGCTCTCCCTTTGCGATAGCTGACTCATTGTCCAAATCAAATGTTTCAGATTCAATAAGAGTGGATTTTTCTGACTCAATTTTGCTTTCCTTTTTTCTATTCAAGAACCTGACTGTGGGGGTCATTGGTAAACCAAGTGATGCTGAATAATCATCAATAGGCAATTTCGTCACATCAAAAATCTCATTATCTTTTTGAATATAAATAGAACGCAAATATGTGATGAAGGCCCTCTGTGCCAGCTGCTGCATATTTGGATATTTAACTAGTAAAGCCGACAATAGTCTAGAAACAGGTTCTAACCTCTTTGTATTTGCCTGGGAAATCAGTATCGTAATTGTTAGGTTAACATACAAGTCATGTACATCAGGACATGATTCAGAAAAGGAAGAAACAATATTGAGATTAATCTACCTTAATAAATTGTATAGGTACTTTTGCTGCCTGCAACTTTTCAAGCATCTTCATTTCTGAAGGCATCAGAAATAAAATTGACCTTCCTCCAGAAAGGTAACGAGCAGTGCGGCCAACTCGGTGTATATAGGACGCAACATCTTCCGGACAATCCACCTTAAAAACAAGAAAAGAATCTCATTTAGATGATGAAATAAAAGTTGCTTCTATTTTCTATTTATTTTTCCCTTGAACAAATATTTTACCTGCACAACCCAGTCAACCGCCTTGTTAAAATCAAGGCCTCTTGAGGCCACATCAGTTGAGAAGAGAACTGATCGAGACTCACAGAATTGTGAATAAATACCCAGCCTTATCTCTTGCTTCATCCTTCCATGAAGACACATCAAGGGTATTCCAGGACGCAATTTCTTGAATGCTTCAAAGACAAATTTAACCTATGATACAGCATTTTTCACATTGTAAATTCATTACAAGGATGAAAAAAAGAAGAAGGAAAAACACTGAAAACAAAAAATCTATAATGAAATCATAAAGACCAAGAGCAAGAGGAAACCTTTTTTCCCAAATCTACCATACTAAAATTCCAAATCTAAAAAGGGAAAGGGGCAAGGCAGAGAAGTTGCTTGTTTACAATGCATTGCTGCTAAATGCTACCAGCACGTAAAAAGGTGCAAATAAAGATATCAAAGTCCAACCAAGACAGCCAGATGTTTATTGACAATTTGACATTTCTAATGAAGACCCAGCATTTATCCCGTGCATTTTAACTCTTGATAATAAATACTTTAAACAGAAAATGTTTCGTTTACACAACATAAATAATGCAAATATACCTCTTTACAGCTTGAAAGAAACACAAGAATCTTTGATTTGAGATGTGCCTTTATGAAACTCCACAGCATGTCCAACTTTTGCTCAAGTGGAACGATCATTGCAGTTTGCTGTAAGCGATTGGGAGTGGCAGTAACAGCTTTCTCATGCACACTGATATACTCTGGGTCTTTCAAGCTGAGCCTTGCAAGATCCTGGACCGACTTTGTTTGGGTTGCAGAGAAAAGCAATGTTTGTCTACACTTTGGTAGCTGTGATACAATTGCATTTAACGTCTTCTTAAAACCAATGTCAAGAATGCGATCAGCCTCATCAAGGACCAAAACCTGTTTACTGGCCAGAAACCACTACCCAAATCAGCAGCTAACAGAGAAGTGGAAAATATCAAACAAGAAATGCAGATGCATGCCAATATAAACGAACCAAATTAAGAATACATTATATTGTGCTGTTGACCTGAAGCTGAGAACAATCAAAATTTGGAGTCTCGTCCATATGCTGAAGAAGACGTCCAGGAGTACAAATTAGAATATTCAGCTCATTCACCCGCTCTTTCTCGAGGTCAACTTCCTTTCGACCACCGATTAGAAGGCCTGCACTAAAAGTATGATACTTCCCAACAGTTTTTAATACATCAAAAGCTGACCAGCTAGTTCCCTTGTGGGAGATATTATGATGCTGCCAACTCCATCCTCGGGACCCCATCTCTCTCTATGCAGCTTCTCCAGGACCTGAAATAAACAATTTCAGTAAGGTCCAGAAACATTAACAAAACAACACATAATTAGTACTAAGATATCACTGCAACCATCTTTCATAAGTTCATTTTACATCATCATCATCTCTATAATCAAAACCACAGGAAAAACAATAACTTGTGTTCACAAGCTACTCCATTTCAGGTAAAATGAAATTTGGTTCCTTCATTGTTGAGTTGAGTTTGGCAGTTCGAGTTTTAAAAGTGATAGTTGAACTGAACTTTGAGCTTGATCTCAACCAAGCTCGATTACACCCTTAAATTACCAAGCAAATAAATCTTGTATGCACAACCAAATGAATTCATTTAAGGGTTAAGACCATAACCAGCCAAAGGAAATATCCACTTCCCTTCAAAACTTCAAAACCACAAAATTTTCCTTATAAATTTCTAATAAAAAATAATTTAACTCCCCCATGCCAAAATAAAATTGCCATCAAAAGAAAATAGAAATATTCATAAATGATAAAAAATAGATAAGATAAAGAACAAACCGGAATAACAAAAGCAAAAGTCTTTCCGGACCCAGTTTTAGCTGCACCGAGAATATCTCTTCCACAAAGCGCGTGAGGCAAAGACGCCACCTGTATATCAGTCATCTTCTTAAACCCACCTCCCTCCAATCCATTCTTCGTCCTTTTTGATATCGGAAGTTCATAAAATTTCCTCGCTCCGGCGTATCTAGAGAATGAAACGACAACACTTTCAGGGTCGACAATTCGGCCAATTGGCGACTTGGATTTCAGTGGGTCGAGGGCTAAAGGATTGGACCCGGATTCGGGTTTCTGGGATTCTATCCATTCGTTTAGAATATCGATTTCTTGGAACTCGTTGTTCTTCTGCTGTTTCCGGGTGGATCTTGATTTCGGTCTCCGCATTTTTCTTTTCTTTATGGATAATTAGTTTTCTGGGGGTCGAAGAAGAAGAAAGTTGTGAACTTTCGTTTTGTTTATTTGAGGGTTTTAGAATTAGGGTTTCGGTAGGGTTCCTAGGAGTTTCGATTTAAGGTTTTTGAAATTTTTTATTAAGGACCTTAAAAAAATATTCCTATAAAGGATAAATATGACTTTTGGTACCTAATTGTGACATTCATGTTCAACGTGGTGCATTTAAGTCTTTTTAGGTACATAACTTTTTTAATAGTCTTTTTAGGTACATAACTTTTTTAATGGTTCATTTAGGTATCTAACTTTTTTTGTTGCAATTAGCTCTATCCAACTTTTATTTTTTGGTGCATTTAAGTATCCAAATTTCATTTTTTGGTGCAATTAAATACTCAACTTTTTCTAAAAATAGCATAAACTAAGCTATCTCAGTGATTAAATGCATGATTGTTATCCCTAAATGTCTCAGGTTTGAGCATCAGAAAATGCAAGAGTGTTTGAGCTTATTAAATGGTTGAGAATTTTTAGAATATTTATTATCGCTCTAGCTTAATAAAAAAAATTCCTACATTTGAGGAGGAACTAGTTCAGATTTTAGATAAAGATAAAAATATTAGGAAGAAAAAGCGTATTCTACTCATTAAGGTTCTTTGGAGGAACAAAAACTTTGTAGAAGCCACATAGGAACTAGAGAAATATATATGTTAAAAATATTTCCAATTATCCACATTAAGTGATTTTAGAAGCTTAATTTCTTTTAAAGAAAAGAGAGTTGGCATGCCCTAAAATCGAGGTTAATATTTCGATTAAAATAATTCATGAGTTAATTAAGTTTAAAATATAATGTTAGGGCTTCATTGTGATTAAAAAAATAATTGGGGACTAGATCATAAAAATAAAAAATTTAAGAATTAAAAATATGGTTTAAAAAGTTTTAGGCTATTTTGAAAACCTAAAAGGAGTTCAATAGCCATCTTTAAATTAAATGTTGTTAATTTTTTTAGTCAAACCCATCATATTTTCTCCATTTAAATCTTAAAATTAGGGGTGTTTGTCGAGCGAGTCAATCCAGAGTTGGGTAGTGCTCGACTAGTTCTCGCTGAAAAATTATTACTCGACTCGACTCGTTACTTGTTAGACTCACCAAAATTTTTACCTTATTTTTTAACTACATGTAAAATCTACTAATATTATGTAAAGCTTAATATAAACATAAATTAACAAATTTAACCAAAAAATTATTAAAAGAGAATGCAAGTAATTTCAAAGTATAAACTCTAAAGTAACAAACTACAAATACACCAAATTAACATATGAAAACCAAAGTAATAATCCACAAATACATCAAACTAACATATTAAAAATATTATTAAAAAAAAGTTCAACAATACAAAACCAATCTTAAAAATAAAGAAATCAACATCTCTCCATTCCATTTATTGTTGCTTGCAATCATCAAACTACTAAAAATTAACGAGTCGCTCGCGAATTTATCAAGTCGAATTGGACTTTACTCAATTCATTAAGATTTTGAATCGAGTTCGAATTCGAGTCGAATCAACTCAAATCAAATTTTAATTGAATTTTGACCAAAACGAATTAAAACTGCTTACGAACTGCTCAACTCATTAATCGGAATATTAAATAATTAACGAACTCGAATTCGAGTTTGTCAAAATTTAATATTCGAGTGATCAAAACATGAATAATTCGAAAGTAGAATTTTTAATTTTTTTTAAAAAAACTAGTGATTTAAATAAGAATAAGAATAAAGTTAAGTGATAAATTTGTAATTTACCATTTAAGAAAAACACGATTAAAAAAGGGAGAAAGAAAGAAAATATAGCCTTATGTCTGTCATTCTTGTTTTTGAATTCAAATCAACCCCACTGCTACTTTAGATCCCTCTTTTCTACATTCATACATCTATAGAAAAAACACAAGCTTTTATATATAAAAGGAAAATCTCAATTGGATCAACCTCAGAAACGAGTTTCAAATTGAAAAAGAGAAAAAAAGAAGCAGCAGAGATGGGATTCAAAAACAGAGTAGAAGAAAAGAATTGTTCAATGAACGAAGCTTTGTTGTTTGCTACCATGTCAATCATTGGTCTGCAAGTGGATGCGCACTTGAAAGACAGCTCTGTTTATTCTGGAATCTTCCACACTGCCTCTGTGGAGAAGGAATATGGTGCGTTTCTTCCTTTATTATTTTTTTGGGAAGTTTTTTTTCTGGGTTTCTCTTGGCATTGCTTATTCTGTTCGAAGCCAATTCTGGGTTTTGATTGTTGATGGAAATTATGTATGGGTTTTTGTTTTATTTATATTTTATTCTGGTGATTTCGTCTGTTAATTGGATGAGATCAGATTGGTTTCTGTTTTTTCTGCTGATTTATTCTGTTCTGTCTATTTGATTAATAGAAATTGAAAGAAATATGATTTTTATCGTTATTATCGCTTTTGTGCAAAGGTTTTAATATTAACGGTGGCATGCAGATATGCACTTTTGTCAAGGGGCATTATTGCTGCAGGGATCATATTAAAGGAGACATTTTTATCTGATACACTATTTTGGTTGTTTTTCTTGTTTTTTTGCTTTTTTAGGTAACACTTAGTTTGATTTTGTCTTAAATTCAAGTCATTTTTTTTATCTTGGTTTTAATCTTGTGAGGAAGTTAAAAAAAAGGAAAGTAGCACAAGCAAGGTTAAACCAAGCGAACACTATCTAATATGTAGTATGGCTCAAAGAAGGTGGCATGGCATATTACCTTTTGGGAACCAAAGCAGTACAAAATGAAGCATTTGAGTCATCTCTTTTTGGGGAGATAAAAGCTTGTTTTTAAGACTAAAATTTGCATTTAGTTGAGGGTTTTTATCTGTATTTGCTATGTTGAATTTTGAGGATGCTTATTTAATTTATTTGTGTTTCATTAGGTATTGTTTTGAAGAAAGCAAAATTGACTAAAAAGGGCAGGTGTGCCACCAATGTTCCGAATGGCAGTGTAGTAGAGACACTGGTAATTCTTGCTGGTGATCTTGTTCAAGTTGTTGCTAAGGTATAATCACTGTTACATCCTTTTCTTTGGTGGGGTTTTATTTGACTAATGCAAGGTTGAATGATTGGTTTGACATGAATGAATGTTGTGTTTAGGGAGTCCCGCTTCCTTTTGATGGTTTTGCCGGAAATATAGATTGTGGTAATGGAGAAGCTGCTTCTGAATTTGTCCCTTCTTCCAATCCACTGAATGGGACCAAGAAGCTTAATGAGTCTACCATGGATGAAAGAAAAAGAAACACAAAGAGGTACCATATATTCCTTTTATTCTTATTATTTTTGGCTAGCATATATTAATTTAATTGTACCTATCAAAACAGAATTTCAGCCCATAACGAGAATGGATTTGCTGATAGTTTTATATCCACGGATACTGGAAAGGAAGATGAAGGTCGAAAGTTGCTAGAGAACCCCATGGGAAATGGTAAGGAAGTTGAACATCAGAAAAGAGATGAGACACACGTTGAACAGGTAAAATTTTCCAGTTCAAAACTATCTTTTAGTTAAGCCTTTCGTCTTGGGAAAAATGTGAAGCAGATGTCAAATAGATATTAACAGATACATTTTTATCTTTTCATTGTAAAAAATTTAGTTGAGAAAACCTTCTTGATGGGTATTGGTTTGATTGAAGGCTTCCATCATTCCTACAAAATTTTGCTTTTCCCAGGGAAGATCAGTCATGTTGCTTAGTTCATATGATTGTTCTATTCTTTCTTCCAAAAAAAAAAAACTCTAACTGTAAAGTATGAAGTAAAATATCATACATTCTATAATGGGATATTGTCTGAGTGATGATGATTCTTTCGTCCATTTCTCATTCTAAATTTTTCATTTTTGTCTTCTCACAGAGAGAAGGTGCTTCTGGTGCCACTGTTGCTAGGAGGTACAAAACAGAATTTTCTTTAATTTTTGCACTTGTTGCTCAAGTTCCACACTTCTGATCATGTCATTGGCTGAAAGAACATACCTTTTTTCTGGTTGAGAGGTCTATGTTTAGACATGAATATGCGCGTGAAAAAAACTAGTTTAACCCAAGCCAAAGCATCCAGAGTTAGTCTCTCATAGGTGGAACTTGTCTCACTTGCCTCTTGTAAGGTTTTCAAAAGGAACTGTTTCTATTGAATCGCATTTGTTTTTCTTTTCTTTACAATGGTTTTAAACTTGGAGGTCTGATATTGTATTACTTGCACGAGAATAAGGAAAATTCTAGGGCTACTTGGTCATTCCAAACGTAGAAATTAATTTAGGAAGCACATGCTCGAATGTAAAAGATGATGCTTCTTTTTTTCTCCTTAGTTTGCCTTTTCCATCCTGTAGTCTCATCATGAGTTCTTATAACTATTATTTCTCATTCATTGCTTAAAGAAAAAAAAATAAAAGATGTTTTTTTTTTGGAATTCCTTATCTCATGCTTCTGTTGGATATAGTAACTTGGCAGCATCATATTCATGATAGATTCCTTCCCAATGTGCCAGGAGTTATTTTAATGTATCTCTTTTGAATGTTTTATGTACAGTAATATTTTATCTTCCTTATTATCAGATTCGTATCAATTTATTTTTTCTGACAGACAGGTTGGAGAGGATAGGTCTCTGCTTTCACAGGATGAACTTGGCCAAAAGTTTGAGTTTCATGTTGAACAGAATGTATGTTCTTCACATAAAACCTAGAATTGAAGCTAATATTCAACTTACTAACGAGATTATTTCTACAGGAGAAGGAAGTTCAACAGTCAGTTTCAAGCTGTGAGTCTTCTGCTGTTGATACTCTTAAGCCAGGTTTTAAACCTTCCGGATCTCCTTTATATGGAGAATAAAAGTTATATTAAATTGATAGCCTTTTGACTTATCGGCATCCTAGATGATAATTAAGCTATTGCTTACTGGAACATTTCTTGATACTCCAGTGGTTGGTGAACATGACAATCCATGTTGTGAAAGGCCCTCTGCAATAGACATACACCAAGATGCTGTTTGTTCTGGTGTTTCAACTTCTAATCTTGTGAAGAATGTTTCCCCGGAATCATGTCAGAGGTTATTTGCTAATCCGACTGCCATAATACCTCCACAAAGTTCAGAATTAAATAAAAACTCAAAGGTAAAACAATTATATAAAATTTGACTTGTGATTTCTGTAACTCGGACTCAGGTATGAGTGTCAGATACAAGTATGGTTAAATTTTTTTAAGGTTTTTCATGCATTTGGGGAATCCTTAGAGGTCATATCCTCCTATCCGCATTTCTGATACAAATTTCGGACACAATTACTTTAAGAAAAATGAAAAGTCTAAGCAACATAGCTTGTAATATCTAGCAGAGAGAATAATGGTGGATTCCTTTCTCTTGAATGTCTATAATACGAGACAATAGCAAGGAGGTTGTCAATGTCTTAATATCACACGATTCATGTCTTCAAGATGTTAGCCTCATGTTTTTATGTTTCATAGAATTGTAACTGCATACTCTTCGTTCAGTTAGTTATCGGACACTATAGTGATACAATTTCCTAAGTGGATATCATAACACAATCTTCTTTGTCTATGTTGAAGGTTTCCTACTTTATTTTTTTATTTTGTGTCAGGAATTTAAGCTCAATCCCGGAGCAAAAGTTTTCTCTCCATCTTTTGCTACTGCCATATCAGCAGCTCCTCCTATTGTGCCGACAGTCACAAATGTGCCATACATACCAGGCAATTCACCTATGGTAGCTGTTGCTGGTTCTCAGCCAGAGGATGGGATGGGCACTTTTGTGCCTCGTTCCTCGACGCCTTCTAAGTTTGTCTCTTACGGTAACATATCAGCTGCAACTGGTGTCAATGGTTCCCAGTTTTCTCAACCCGTATGTTTTTTTATAAGCTTTTGTAGTTCATTAATCTTAATCTTAGATTTTTTATTTTATGTTTCCCATTTTATCATTCAAAGTTCTTCCTCTTAGGACTTGAAAATTTACATGGCTGCATTTGAAATCTGTTTGGCTATATATACATTAGCGTTATTTTGTTAAACCGTAAACTGTTCATCAATATTAATTTGTTTAGCTTTTAATTGATTGCTGCTCAATTTCAAGAGCAACAAAAGATTTTGGTGTCACTTGGCTGTCTACGGATTATATAAGAGTTGTTAGTATGTTCATCATGAAGTATTTCTAATTCCGATTATATCTCTAATGTTGTTTTCAATTTTTCGTCTTTAGATTGTTGGGCATATGGGGAATAGAACCCAGCCACTTAGATATGCCGGTCAATATCATCCTGATCAGGCAGCAACTGCATATTTGAATCCAAACTCGCAAGCAGTAAGCAAAAGAAGGAACTTTCTTCCCTGTGTTGCTTTGGTCCCTTTTATTAGCCTGCCAAGACGGAGCTGGAATGTTGATACTCTTTTTAACATTGAAAAAGTGGTTGTTTATTATTTACTAATCTCTCTTTATCTGCTCGTTTCTAGGTTATGTTTGGACATCTTGGACAGCTGATTTGCATGCCTGTTTCTCATGTAAGATGATCAGCCCTCAAACAAAAGAAATGACATTCTTATATCATTAAAGCACTCTGGGTTGATAGCTTCCGAGTGTTGAAAGAAAATGTAGACTATTTTTCTAGAGATTTTCTTCTATTTAGGTTGTCAAAGGACGGTACCGTTGTTTTAGTTCTACTTGTTTCTAAATTGCTATTTATTTCATATGAAGGATTTGGTTCCGAGCGCAGCGGGTCTCTCTCCGGAACCTGCACGTCCTCTGTTGACTCCACATCATGTCCAATTTCCGAAACACCAAGGTTTACTGTTGTTTGTAGTAAAAAGTAGAATGCAGTTGTGTGCATTGTTGTCATTTTGTTCTAAAGCCTTTTCGTGATTGCAGGAAGTGCACCGGACCAAGCATTGCCGCTTTGTGTACCTCAACCTTTCATTGCCGGTGGACAACCACCACTGGCGGTGCCAAGCCATATTCCGTATTTGCATGCTCCTTTCCCAGTTAATCGTCCGGTACAATTCCCGGGTTCTAATGGACTATTTAGCACCAAGCTTCCATGAAATTTTGTTGGTTCATTAGTATTACCCTTTTTGTTTTGTTTGAAGGTAAATAAAAAATTTCATCTTTTGAATGCATCCAAGTTTTTGAGTCGTTTCCATTTTTTAAGAGAGGATTATCTACTTTGTTTTTGTTTAATTTTTTGAACAATGTAGTGGTGGGAAATGATATTCCCACCATGGTTGGGAATATATTATTATCCCTAGAAGAATCTTTCCAAAACAGAACATGGAATGTAATTTCGAATTAGGAATGTAGTTTCGAAAAAGATTATTATATCGAAAAATTACATGAATTAAAAATGATTGAATTAAAGTATAGAGACTAAATATATAATTTACACATAATATATAGATTATTTTTTAAAGGAGAACAAATTAAATATAAAATATTAACCTTAATAAAAATATACTTAAAATTTTGAATGATGGAAATTTTCCTTCAAAACTTGTTATCCAATTAGCTTTTAACTAAGTCGTTTTCAAATTAATTATTTGAGTTATAATTGCTTAATTATTATGACCGAATCATTCAACATTCTAAGTCAGATTTGAACAGAAATTAATTAACAAAAAGAAAAAGGAAATCCAAATCAAATATGAGCTTTGAGTTAAAAAGAAAAACAAGGACCTCTTCTAACTCTATACAAACAAAGCACCATGTTCTTTCTATATACAAACTGATCCCCAAAAAAAAACCAGAGAACTTGTTCCTCTGCTCTCCAATTTTCTGTCACTTTCCCAGTAAAATCCCCATAGAAAGAGAAGAAAGGAAAATCTGGGTTCATTTTTATTTTTTGTGTTCACCGTGATGATCAATTCACCTCAGGAATGCTTTGGAGTTTAGGCCTCCAGGAGCGTTGATTTGCTTGAATATCATATTGATTGCTAACATTGATCAACTGTGCTAAAACCTGTTGCACTGATAACTCATTCATATCAACCCTACCTAATAACTCCTCCAGCTGCTTCTTCGTTATCTTTACTTTCACTTCGTGAGTAGTAGTTGCAGTAACTGCAGTTGTAGATGTTATTTTTTTACTGTTTCTTACAAGACCCTTTTCCTCCGCTTTGGCGCCGTCTTCCGTCGTGGATGTTCCCCAGTCGTCGCCGGCCCATTCTGTTGATGAGTGCCGCCGTAAACAGTTACCCATTGTAATGTGTGTATGAATGAATGAATGAAGAGAGCAAGGACTTTGAATGGTTATAAGGGATGGGTTATATATAGGAAAAGGAAGTGAAAGAGTCAAACCTAAAATTTTGCCACGTAGGATCACATGTCGTTCGACGTGGCTGATGATTATTCGTTGACATTCCCCGCCTACTCAAAATCTGCATGTGATTGACAACTTCTTTGGTTAATGATGTCGGTTAACTTGGCTTCGCTTCGCTTCGCTTATCAAACCATGGAGTTGATTAAGAGGGAATAAATTTCGATTCAACTTAAAAAATGAATATTTTATTTTGATTTATGTTAAAATATTTGATTAAAAATATTTAAATAAAGTTTAAGTTTTAAAATAAGATTCGAATAATTGAAACAACTCAAAAAATTTAATAATTAATAGATTAATTTTTAAGTTCGAGTTAAGTTCCTAACTTTACGTAATATATGTATATCACACATAAAAATGTGAATAAATAAATATATATATATATATGTATATATCACTTATGATTATAAAAAATATTTAAATAGAATCAATTGATATCATAATATTATAAATATTTTATAATTAAATTTAAATAAAAATTCAAACAAATCAATTTGAAATTTATAAATTTAATTTAAACTTTTAAGAATAAAATTTAGAAATTTAAATTCAACTAACTTTAAATTTTCCTTATTCAATTTGATAATTCGATTAGATCAAATACATATATTATAGAGCTATAATTGATGTAAAAGCCTTGGAAGCCATGGAACAGAGATAAGAGCCAAGCCATAATGAGGGCGTAGGAGCCGAGATCATTCAGGTGTGAACGCGGTTAAGCGTGGAATCTATAAGTGTGAACGCAAATTAGATAAAGGAATCTAACAAGACAAACCAAAGAGGCCATTTCGCTCCTTCACGTGACATGTTTGATTGAATAATTCACAAAAATTGTCAATCTTATTATTTAAATAGTTTTAATGATAAAAAATATTGTTTCATTTAAGATTTTAAATTCGAATAACTGTATTTAAAGAGTGTATGTCGTTAAACGATTAAAAAAAATTATGAATAAATAATTAAATATTATCTTATAATCATTCCATATTATTAAAAAAATAGAACATAAAAGAATCTCATAAAAAATAAATTTTAATCCAATTGATTTATGTTGCTATTTTTATAAAATAATATACATAAATTCCAGAAAATATCATTCAATTTTTTGAAATTTACCACTTTGATCCTTTGGCTAAAACTAAAGAAACTGTCATATTTAGAAAGAAAAAAATATTAAGCAATTCTCCTGGGAAAAAACAACTTACTAAAAAATTATAAAATCAAATAAAGGATGTGAGTTAGAATTAAAATTTTATAAAAAGGGAGAGTCCAATTATATGGAAGGTTGGTGAAGTCTACGTTGGCACCTAACCCCACCACCCCATTGCTATAATCCAAAATTCACTCACCAAAAATGGAAAAAACAAATCTCTTCTCAATATAAAAATACCTTTCAATATCCTACCATCTACAACTTAATATTTCGTATATTTATATTTATAATTAAAATATTATATATAAATTATTGTTTTGATGGTGGATTTTTTCCACAATTGAAATTCTAAACTAATCGTGTGTTATATTTAGGGACACTGAATCTTAAATATTTGGTATTTATTTTTTGAACAATTTATATATAAGAAGAGAGAGAAATAAATTTTTGTTTCTAATGAAGTATTAAATTCACAACTTAGGTGAATGGCGAGGTGTCAACTAAAATCTTTTAATCATCTGTTTCAGAAATTGTTGCTAACTATGATATATGATCTTTAAATCTTAAAATTTAAATTCATAAACATTAAATAAGACATATAATAACGTTAAAATCCCATTTGTGATAGGAGAATTTCACCATAATGATATGATTTTTCATTATATTTATTTAGAAGTGTATAATTTTAAATGGTATGTTAAAATTTTTTATTTTTTGTTTTGGTGTGGGTGTGTAATTAAAGTTATAATAAAGTAGTGGCGCCGTTCAATTTGCATGGTGGATGCTAGGACTGAGCAACGAAATTGAGAAAATCGAAAAATCGACACGAATCAAGTAAAATGGTTCGGTTCGGTTTGGTTTGGCTTTAAATGGTTCGGTTTTCGGTTCGGTTTAAAGGTTTTAATTTTTTGATTCGGTTCGGTTCGGATTTTCCATATGGAATCCATTTGTTCCATATTGAACCGAATAGGTAATTTTTATAAAAAAAAATTATAGTTTCAAGTGATTTTTTTATTGAAAAACCGATAAACCGAACCGAACAGAAAAACCCGAACCGTTAAAAAAACCGAACCATACCGAAAAAACCGGTTTTAGTTTTTTCAATTTTTTAACTATTCGATTTCGATTTCGGTTTAAATATTGAAAACCTGTTTATTTCGGTTCAATTTAATTTTTGATAAAAAACCAAATCGAACCGAATACACCCACAGTATGCATGATATTTTGATTAGGACCAAAGTGTTGGGGTAGTGTGTGTCTGTGTTGGGGGGGGGGGGAGGGGGGGTTGGATGGGGAGTCAGCTTTTGGATAGTGCTGTTTTAAAAGCAACCATACCCAATTGCCTACCACCTTCTGTCCTCTACTTCTATGTGTTGTTGGAAATTTCAATTTCAATCGATTTAATTTTAATTTGAATCTTCGTAATAGTAAAAGAAAATATTATTATTCTTAAAAGATTTATATATAAATAATTACGTCTGCATAATATGTTATCAATATATTAAAATAATTCGGAATAAATATTATCTTTTTTTTACACAATGATCCATAATATTTTTGTATAAATATACAATAATTCATAATTGTTAGAAAAAATTAAGCTTATGGCATAATCAAGAATGAATCGAGGGGGTGCAGTTGGGGTTAGTCGTCTCTAAAAAATTTAAATTAAGACATATTTTAGATATTTTCTTTATATTTTCAATCGATAATATGTTTTCGTTTTCTCTTACGATAAAATTTTGGGTAAAAGATATTACTTTAATTTTGTACAACTTTATATGTTAAGTACGATTCCAAACGACTCCTTCCCCTTATAAAAGAACAAATACTAAAAAATTTATTTGAGAGTCTCAATTTTGAATAATAGATTCTTTTCAAGGAAAATTCTTACTTTTTTCCATCTTCATTTTAATATCATATTTTGCATGGTAGGTTGTCAATTGATGTATGTACTTTAATATTTTAATTCTATATTCAACATTGATGGGTAATATTCATCTATATGATATACAGTCTTTAATATTAATCCAAATAAAAAAACTCCATATGTTCATATATATATATATATATATATATATATATATATATATATATATATATATATATATATATATATATATCCATAAATTTATAAATGGGGTCCAAAATTTTAATATTCTTTTCTTAAAAATAATGGGGTGCAAAATTTTTTATTTTTTTTCATTTTTCTTTGATATATTATACTAAATTTCAATTTTTTTCCTAAATAATGGGGATGCACTTGACTCCTAGGGGGCCTGGTACATCCGCTCATGATACATATATACATACATACCATCAAATCAAAACGGATAAATAATTTGGCTCATAAATAAAACTTAAAAATAATGGGGTGCAAAATTTTTTATTTTTTTTCATTTTTCTTTGATATATTATACTAAATTTCAATTTTTTTCCTAAATAATGGGGATGCACTTGACTCCTAGGGGGCCTGGTGCATCCGCTCATGATACATATATACATACATACCATCAAATCAAAACGGATAAATAATTTGGCTCATAAATAAAACATAAAAAGAAATCCAAAACTTTGAATAAATAAAAGCTATCTTAATGAATGTGGTTTTGATGTAAATGAGTCAATTACCTTTTCAATTATGGATAAGGTTTGACAACCTTTCTAAAAGGATAAACACATTAGTTTAATCAAAATGTATTTGCATGTTTAGTTCACGCAGCCGTGCAATTTTTGAGTACAAAAAGGCCCTTATTCTTTCTCCTTTTACGTAACATGAAAGAATATTATTATAATTTTCGTTTAGTCCAAATTGTTCACTTGGCAAAAGAATTTGACCTAAATTCAAGTTAAAGACTTCAAAAAAGAAAAGAGATCAAATATGTTAATTTGGGTCAATTTATTTGTACATAATTTTTCGATCCCTACATATATCTTGAAGATTTGTTAGGGCAATCAAGAGTAGGAAAAAAAGAGAGCATTAAAGTGAGAAAATAACAAGTATTTGGTCAGCCACTAGATAATGGATATTGTGCCCTATGAAGAATGTGATTGCCAACAACTGTTTAATGCTAAAATTGACAATTACACTCACATAGTGACCTAATTGAAAATTATCCTTGATTTTACAATTTAAATTGAACGTTTTAAAGTTTAAAATTTAATATATAATATGATGGTATTAGTGCAATTAACCCCTTTTTTTTATAACATTTACAGAATTTTACTTTCCATTTCCCTAAAAGTATTTTTCTTAACAAAAAAAAGTGATTGTACGTGGAAACTAATCTCTTAAACACTTGATTAACCTTTTTAATATGAATCATTAAGAGCTTTTAATGATAAAATAAAATATTATATTTTTAGAAGTTTTGAGTTCGAACAATTGTATTTACATGGCTTGTATTATCAATTCAATAAAAATTATGAATAAATACTACTTTATAGTCATACCAAATTATTTAAAAAAAATATTTAAATATAATTCATGATTTAAAATAAAACATCATAATCAGTAAAAGGGAGAGTGAAGAAAGCATTAGTTCATCTTACGAAATTAATCAGTTATTATTACTATTATTATTATTATTATTATTATTGATGATGATGATCAAATCTTTTTCTTTTATGATAAAGACAAATTGGTACCCTATGAGTGGAAAAATAGGGAGACAACTATTGCGTAGTGCTGTTATATTTTATAAATAATTTAGAGATAAAATAATATTTATTCAAGTTTTTTTTTAAAATTTATCAATAATATATATTTGTTGATATAATTATTTGAAGTCGATTTTTTAAAAATAATTTTATCTTTTATCACTAAATAAACTTTTACGTAATAATGTTAAAAATAACCATCGATGGGGCATACTTTTGTCTCGTGTAAGTGGACAATAGACGTAATAATATTTAGGAATAAAGAGATTTTATTTTAATGATAATAAAAGACCGGAACAATATTTTTGTATGAACTTTGAATAAAGAAGAAGGATGTATTGTTGAAATGCTCTGGCAGATAGCACTTCTTTGGGGCCTAATGGTGTATTGATTTCTCTGGCAAGACAAAGTTTCTCAAAATGATAAGTGCTTTCTTTAGTGAAGCTTTGTTGCGTAAAAACAAAGGAATTGGTGTCGGAGATCCGCCGGTGAATGACGGTGGACAGGGATGACAGAAGAAGGTTGATAGAGACGATTAAGGTTTTTGTTATATGAAAGTGAAAAACTACAGTAAACTGGTATTTAGTATGTGAATTATGACATGATTGGGTCAAAAAGTAAGCCCAAATACAACAAATGTATTTATATTGAATTATAACACGATTGGGTCAACAAGTATTTAGCCCATAGCAACTCAATTCACTTAGGGTGCGTTTGGTTCACAGAATGTAAGATTACTAGTGAGAATAAAAGATTACCAGAGAATAGGATTATTGAGAATATTGTATTTTGTGTTTGGCTGGTTTAGCAGAAATGTAAGATTATCGTGTTTGGTTAAAGGAATAAAAGATTATTGGAATGTATATTTGACCAAATTGTCCTTATTATATATTTGTTTTTTAACAAGTTGAAAAAATATTTATATATTTTTATTTAAAAAATTTAAATTCATAAAATTTATATATATTTTTTACAAAATTGAAAATATAAAAAGGTTTAATGATAGGGTAAAATTTTATTTTAACCCCTGAACTTCATATAAAATTTTAATTATAGATTTTTTTTGTAAATCTAAAATAGTTTAAGGATAAATTTGTAATTTAACCTTCATAGAATTTTTATTATTCAATGACAGAATAATGATATTTTTGAAGAAAACAAAATTAAGGGCATTTTAGTCCAAAACGCCGGTAATCTAACGATACCTAAGGGAATAGGTAATGACATTCACATTAATATACCTAAAAAAATCCACTATTAGTAATAAAACATTACCGGGAATGAGATTACTGGCCAACCAAACAGGGGGAATACGGATTCCATTCCTATAAGAATCCAACATTCCCATGGGAATCCCACATTTCCGAACCAAACAGCCCCTTATTATACATGTGGTTTAAATTACAAGGGAATATTTATTGAATTAAGTAAATCAAAATTAAGAAAAAATATCTCTAACTAGATTCGAGTATGTATTATGCTCACTATCTTATTAGAAGATTAAATTTATTAATTTAAGAATAAGATTAAATTAATAGAATATATAAATAATAAAGACTAAATGTATAATTATACCAATTTTATTAACTGTTACGTCAACCCCTACGTCAAATAGAGACATTCAAATTAACCTGTAACCATTAATCGGTGTCCTTGTTACATTTTACAGGTTAATTAATCAAACTGTTAAGACTATACGTTTTCAATTAACAAAACCGCTAAAAGTATCAATTAAAAATTACAGTTACGGTTAGAAATTTTGATAAATGATTAATCATTAGTTAATCTTTAATAAATTATAATAAATTATATATATATATTTTTAGAGAGAATAGAATTAAAAATAAAATTAGATTGAGCTCTCTCTATCTTTTTAGTTATAATATATTTTTTATGTTAGAAAATAATAAATCAAACAAAAATTAAAGAAACACATGATTTATTAAATTTTATCTTATGATTGATTTATTTCTCCCTACTCATTTAAGTTTTGCATCCTCTCCCTCTCTAGGTTTAAAATACACTCAACAGCCCTAAGCCTATTATCTAGATATAGGGGAGACATTGATGTACTGCCTAGAATAAAAATATTATTTTTCATAACAAATAAATGCATATTAAACTGTATTTACTTGAGGTATATTGGTGATAAAATCTATGACGTGCAAAAACTCAGACAAAAAATTGACAACATGCAGAATATGTCTAGAAACTATCAACCATTCATTAGAAATATGGATAACAATGAAATTACAAGAACAATGTCTCATGTTTATCTTTGCGAGTTTAAATTTGAGTTATGTAAGTATGTTCAATATCAAATATGCACGTAAAGTTTCAAATCGAAAATAAAGTTAATAAACCTCGTAATATATATAAAAATAAAATGCATCTATATATATATATATATATGTATCTAATTGAAAAAATAATATAAAGAGAGATACTATTGCAATTATCCATAAATATAAGAAATAATTAAATTATTTTTCATATCGAGTTAGGTCAATATTTTTCATCCTGAACTCGAACCTGACCCAACACGTACTTATCCTCGGACCCGATCTGATTCGAACTCAAATGTTTACTTAAAAAACATCTGACCCAATGAATTTGTGTTGAGTCAGAATCCGTTGGGTTAGAGTCCCGTGTCCATCCCTAAGCTTGATTGACACAAAAATGAAAATTTAGTGACTTAATTGACAATTATTTTTGTTCAGTGATTATAATGAAATCAATCCAATAATTGAGTGACCAATGAGGTAGTTTACTCTTAAATATTTTCCAACCACTGAAAACGAAGTCGTTTAATTTCTCCCATTTAAAAAAAATATAAATTTACAACGTCTCTCTGCCATTCCCCGGCCGCTCGTGCAAAGCCGCGTCCTTGTCGACCTGTAAACGGCCTCGTATCGTCATGTCCCGAATTCCCAGTATACGTTGACCGTATAGTACTGTAAATGTATTAACGTATTTTTATACACATGTAGGTTTCGTCTTTTTCTCCACTACACAGCAATGAAAGAGATAATACAATCCCACACTGCCTCTCTATCCTCTTTGATCTTACATTTTCTCTCTTTTCATTTATTTTGTTTTTTCTTTTGTTTTCTCGATCAGTTTCACTTTCACACACTTCACAAAGAAAAAAAAATGTTTCTTAATTTGTCGAAGTAAATTTATAAAGTATTTTTCTTATTCTTTACTTGTTTTGTTTCTTCTTCTTAGAGGAGTTTTTTTTTTTGTTTTGTTTTGGAATGTTCATGGAAGAGGTTTGAGTTTGAGAGTGATGAAGGTGACTGGGAAATCGAGTTTACCGGCTACATTTCCGGGGTGGATCCCAGTGGACGTGGATCTCAAGCTGACAACGAAGCGGAAGACGCATAACGCTAGGCGGAAGCGGGTTGGTGCACCGTTGGCGGGACGGCGGAGCAGACCGGATACTCCTTTGTTGAAATGGAAGACGGAGGAGAGAGAGAAAGGCTGTGGAGTTAAGGCGGAGCTCGAGGAGGAGGAAGATGGTGACCGGAGAGCTGGTGCTCGGGGACGACGAAAGAAAGGTGCTTTGACGGTATCTGCTAGAAAGCTTGCAGCCGTAATGTGGCGGTTTCATTTGCCGGAGACATTGACTCACGTTGGAGAGAGGAGGGACAGATTGGGGTTTAAGGTGAGATTTTCTTTAACCATTTTGTGGCCCAAAGTCTGTTGTTTTATGCCTTCTTTTAAGACGTGATCAAAAGTGTGATTTTGAAAGGATGATTTTGGATATTTTTCATGTTAAAAGTTGTTAATTTGTTGATTAAATTTGAAGAACAATGCTGATCTTCCTATTCCCATTGCTGTTCAGAAATGAATCACTAAGTATTTGCTAAACGTAATTGATTGATCTGATTTCCGTACCGCAGAAAAGGTCTGCTTTTGGATGCATTTATCATGTTTGAAGCTTCCCATCATTGCATTGAATGATATGGTTTTATTTTGTCTGATTATGAGAAGCTTTTAATGTGCATGGCTTTACTGGATTTCTGTAGCTGAAGGAGTATTCTATTTGTTCCTATTTATGATTTGCCTTTAAATTGCTTCTGAAAGTTGTGCCGCTTACTCAGTTTCATCTGAAGTTTTACTAGTTTGCTGCATCTCTAACGATCGGTTGAATTTAATGATTTGACGTTTGAATTGCGATTTCGGGATGTTTGAGCTCATTGCGTTGTGATTTCGTGCAGCCTAGTGATGGTTTTATGGATGTTCCTTTTCTTTATCATCACAAAGACAAAATTTACAGTTCAGATGCAAAGGATCTGTTACCGAGCCGTGGCTCCAGCTCCGGCACGAAGAACTGCCTCCTTCGTAAGGTATGCTGCTTCACGGAGCTCCTTAGCTGATTCTCGAGCTTTTATTGATATGATCAATATCACAAACCATTGAATAGAAAATCACATAGGAAACAAAGTCTTTATGTTTTAACTCATAGCAGCAGATATGTCTCCATGTGGTCATAATTTGTGCTCCTTTCGGCAGTCCGAATGTTACGAAAGCCGAAGACTTGGTCCCTGGTAAATGCAGAATGAATTTAGTGTTTAGTGGTATGATAAGTTAATCTTTTTGGATAGATATTATATTAAAACCTTGAACATTCTCAGTGCCTGTTAAGGGTTGTCGGCGAATCCTTAGGATCGACGATGGGAAAGAGTAGAAATACTGATTAATTATTAGTTATTACTACACGAGTCGACATTAGTTTAGTTTAATCAGCTTATGAACTAATCGAACCACTTGATTCGGGGATGTTTGTAAGAAAACCGGGGCGGGCGTATCGCTTGTGTATTTATTCTCGAACTGGCTTGTAGATTGCTGTAGTACACTACAAAACCGGGGAGGAGTATCTCTTTCTTTACACTTTCTGATTTTAAGCTGTTTTTTTTTTCTCCTTTCTAAGGTTGAGCTTTCGATTCCATTTTCAAACTCGGCGATGGAGGGAGCTACAAAGTGGGATCCTGTCGGTTTAAAAGCAACAGATGATGCACGAAAATTGTACAGCCACGAGAAGCGTATTGACCAACAAGTAAGTGCAGTATCAATTGTTTCTCTCCTCGAAGCTGAGGTAGAGCAGGCTCGATCTCGGATTGAGGAACTTGAGACTGAGCAACGGTCATCCAAGAAGAAGCTCGAGCAGTTCCTGAGGAAAGTTAGTGAGGAAAGGGGTGCATGGCGGAGCAGAGAGCATGAGAAAATACGTGCATTTGTTGATGACGTGAAATCTGAGTTGAGCCGGGAAAAGAAAAACAGTCAGAGGCTTGAAATTGTCAATTCGAAATTGGTGAATGAGTTGGCTGCTACCAAGTTATCAACAAAGCAATATATGCAGGACTTTGAAAAGGAAAGAAAGGCCCGGCAACTGATTGAAGAAGTATGCAATGAGCTTGCTAAGGAAATCGGAGAAGACAAGTCTGAAGTCGAAGCATTAAGGAGAGATTCCATGAAGCACCAAGAGGAAGTTGACGAGGAAAGAAAGATGTTGCAGATGGCTGAGGTCTGGCGTGAAGAACGTGTTCAAATGAAGCTCATCGATGAAAAGGTAGCACTTGAAGACCGATATTCACAGATGAACAAGCTTGTAGCGGATTTGGAGACATTTCTAAGGTTTAGAATTGGAACTCTCGATGCGAAAGACATGAGAGAAGCAGAAGCGCTAAGACAAGCTGCTGCATCAGTTAATGTTGAAGATATCGAGGAATTTACGTATACGCAGGATGACATTTTCTCTGTTTTTGGAGACACAGCTTTAGCCGAAGTCAATGAAAGTGAAATTGAACAATGTGTTGCACATAGTCCGGCCAGCCATGCCTCGAAAGTTCATACGGTGAGGCCCAAAATGACCATGATGAAAAAAGGCGTCATTTCGAGACATTTAAATGCATATGTTGATCAGAATGATGAGATAGAAGAAGACGAGAGTGGATGGGAAACTGTCAGCCATCTCGAGGATCAGGGCTCAAGTTATTCACCAGAAGGGAGTGCTGCATCAGTAAATAAGAATTGTCGGGCAAGTAATTTCTCAGGTAGTGGAATTGATTGGGAAGAAAATGCATGTGGACATTCCTCAGTCACAGAAACAAGTGAAGTTTGTTCCTTACCGGCTAGACAGTTCAAGAAGGTTTCATCTGTAGCCAGGCTTTGGAGATCAGGTCCAAACAATGGAGAAAATTACAAGATAATTTCAGTTGAAGGAACAAATGGCCGGCTTTCAAATGAACGGGAGTCTAATGACGGTACCACGTCCCCAGATCGAGGCTCGGACATGGGGGGAAAGTGGAGTTCACCCGACACCGGTCATACAAACATAACGAGAGGGATGAAAGGGTGCATCAAGTGGCCTAGTGGTCCACCAAAGGGTAGTTTGAAAGCCAAACTTCTGGAGGCAAGAATGGAAACACAGAAGGTCCAATTACGGCACATCCTTAAACACAAGACATAGAAGTAAACCGTGATTTCAAGCAAAAGCGTATTCCTTACTGTATCTGAATATGCCTGATATCTGCTGCTAGCTCAAAGTTGAGGTAACATATGAATTCGGACACAGGATCTATCCGGATTTACTGATTCTCATATCATCTGGTTCTTGTTTGCCTCCCGCAGCACCGAGAGTTCGGTTTTATCCTTGTGATATCTTGGGACAATACTCTCTATGAAACCATTGGCTCACCGCCTTTCGACTCTAGTTGTAATTCTGTATGGGAGGCTTAGTCATTCTCTTTGTAATCGTGAAACCAATGTATGCCATTTATACTGTACCCCTAGCATTCAAGGATATCAAGGAAAACAAATTCACAGGAGTCTTAAATAATAACATTTTCATTGTAATTTTCTTTTGTTATGAGCGATGTATCTCTGAATTTCTTCAAGGATAAGTTGAAGGACCACAAGAGCATATCAGACTAGCGGGGTAACCGTAGGTGGCAATAATTGATTTTCCCACTTGATCCTATTCGAGTATTATTAAATGAATATGAATTAAATAAGTTATTAGTTGACTATTCGAATATGTAAAGTAGAACTCATTGATGATCTCAGCGGTAAAATAGAATATTATCATCAAATATTATATTTCATCTTCCTTTCAAATTATACATTGGACAAATTCCTCAGAATCGTTAAAAAGATGTTCCCTGCATATTGGACAAGTGCCTTTCCTTCTCAGCCATTCATCTATGCATTGTAAGTGAAATATATGCCCACATCTTGGAAGATTTCTTGCCAATTCTCCATCTTTTAGACCCTGTAGAAATCATATAAGCAAATCATTTCCTGTTTTATATTATTATATAGTTTGATCTTTGTTCTTACCTGTAAGCAAATTGAACAAGAAGGTTGATCAAGATCATTCGATTTTATCGGTTCACTAGATCGAAATTCATGCATTGAAAGCTTTTGAATGCAGCTTCTTGACAAACCCTTTGCTCCAGTTACATCATAAATGTCTGCAATTTCTCTATACGTTGAATCCAGAGAGTTCATCTGGAAACATGAGATGAAAGAGTCAACAATGACTTAAAAGAAGACTATATGATCTTGTTTGGCTACCGAGAAAGTTAACTTAGCATTGCTGGACTTACCCATTCAATGAAGACATTCCCATTTACTAAGCTAATTAATAAGGCTACCTATAAAAACAAAACCAAATGTTTGGATGTCACTGGTGAAGGATGATATTAATGCTATTCTATTTTTTTTCTTCAAAATTGAATTGGCAATGGGATAAGGTAAACGGCACTATACCTTTGATAATGACTCCCCATAAGCCAATGATTCAAGCAATTGAAAGGCTGTGAATGCACCTGCAACAGCACCAATCCCAGCACTATTGAAGAACCCAGTTTCAGTTCTTTGGCCTTTCATTGCTCCTACAACTGTTCCCCCTATAGCCCCTCCTACAAAAAACACAGACAAATCTCTTTGAGTTCTTCAAGCAGATGAATCAAGCAGATGTTAGAGACAATTACCCAAGGCAAAAATGCAGGTGAAAGCAGCAAAGACAATTCTTATGGACACTTTTATTAAGAACCCAATTCCAAGAACTTTCATTGCAGCAAGAACACTTTTTTTTGGCTTTGAAATTTGAAGCTGGAAATGAAAAAGAAGTGGATTTTTTCAAGGAGTGAGGAAGATTGCAATGTAAATAGAAAGCATTTATAGGATGAAGATTGCAGGCGGCATTTATGAGAGCTAAGGCCCTCAAGCTAAACAAAAGCATGCAGGGATTATGAGGGAAGGAAGAAGTTTATATATGAAGAATATATATATGAAGAATATATATGTACATATGGAACTTATGGCCAAACATATATTTATTTGGAGTTAGGTGAATGTTTGTGGGACTCTTTTGTAGATGGTGCACCTACATTTGAGAGTATAAAGTTCTCTTTAATAAATTATTATTTACTTTTCAAAAAATATATTTAATAAAAAAGTATTTTTAATTTTTTAATCAATATTTTTCAAGTTAATGTTATAAAGTTAATTTTTTTAAAAAAAAATATGATAAGTATAATGTAGTAAAGTGTGATTTTGATTAATCTTATATTAAATACAAAAAAATCATTTTAATAAAATGAACTAAATAATGTGATATAATATTTTGACAATATAAAATGAAATAACATAATATACTTAATAATATATCGAATAATCGTATATTCTAATTATTTATAGAAATAACATTACATTATGAAACACCCTCTAAAATATGATAATGATTAAATTTCTTTCTTTAATTTCTTTAAGGTAGGGAGAAGAGATTGAGGTAGGAAGAAAGAATGGACTGTCCACATTTAAATTCAAGATATGACAATTCACGTCATTTACGTATTTGCTTCAAAACTAAAACTACAAAAATAGATTACATACTTGTATAGTTGGTAGATTAAATTTGAGAAAATAACCTCAGTGACCAAAAATCTCATATAATATACGATTTTAACCAACTTTTTCCGGATTTGCCAAAATGACCAACAAAATCGCAATGCGATCGCTAATTCGCAACGCGATCTCCATTATCGCAAATTCGCGTTGCATTTTCGCGTTGCGATAGTTGAAAATCGCGTTGCGATTGTCTACAGTGTCGTTGCGATTTTCCCAATTCGCAATTCGAATAAGTAAATCGCAACGCGAATTGGGAAAATCGCAATGCGATACTGACTATCGCAATGCGATACTGACTATCGCAATGCGATACTTACTATCGCAATACGATTTACGTATTCGCGTTGCGATTTTCATAATTCACAATGCGAATACGTAAATCGCAATGCGATTAAGTAAATCGCAATGCGAATTAGGGAAATCGCAATGCGAATACGTAAATCGCAATGCGAATCTTACTATCGCAATGCGATTTACATAGCGCCATTCGTATTAACGCGTATTTTTTTTTTCAAATTCCAAACACTAATTTTTTCTTAATAAATCGGAAATTGAACCGTCCATAGTAATCGCAACTCATAACCTCAAACCTAAAATCACAACACTCAGTCCCATCTCCATCTCTCACTCTCTACGGCGAAATCCGTCCCCATCTCCGAAGATTTCCGTCCCCATCGCCGGCGAAATCCCTCACAACCATTCACAGTCAAAAATCCCTCACAATCATTCAGAAATGGAAAATCAACCTCCGAGGGTTAGTTTTGTTTTATTTTTATTTTGAAATTTTTGCATTATTTTAGGTTTTTCATATTGAGATTGATGATAAGTTTACTGGTAATTTCAATAATAGATTAACCATTTCACTTAGATTTCTTATTAAATTCATTCGATTGCTGCCAATACTGCTAAACTGTTTAGCCTGTGAAGTTAGTATTTGTCTTTGTTTTGTCTTTTGGTTGAAGTAATGCAGAAGAAGAATAGTTTCGAGAATGAAAATCGCAACGCGGAAATAACTATCGCAACGCGGAAATAACTATCGCAACAAGAGAATCGCAACGCGAAACCAAAATCGCATTGCGATGTTCATTTCGCGTTGCGATTTTCATTTCGCGTTGCGATTTTCATTTCGCGTTGCGATTCTCTCGTTGCGATAGTCATTTCCGCGTTGCGATTATCATTATCTCGTTGCGATTTTCATTTCAACCAAATGACAAAACAGTGTTGCAAATTTTAGTTTCAAGAATAAACTACTATTTATGTTTATTGTTTTTGGTATATCTTGACAGTGTAGTTTTTGGTATATCTAACTTGGTATGTTTATTGTTTTTGTAGAAATTTTTTTCGGCTTCATTGACATTAAGGAATAAAGTTAGCCTAGCCACTACAATTGCTTCGAAGTTTTCACCTGCACAAAGAAAATTGTTTGAGGAAACCTGCTTCGGGCCATGGCTGAGAGTACATCATCCGGGTGGAGATGTTAATTTGACCCATTTGTGGCTTCAGACCATGACTAGCGATCTACCCGACAGTATACAACGTGGTGAGGAAGAGATATGGTTTCATTTTCCACCGACGTATACTTGTTTTGGGCGGAAGGAGTTCTGCTTAATCACTGGTTTACGATTCGGACACGATGATGTAGGTCGGTACACTCGTCATATCACCCGGCCATCATGGTTATCCAGGGTTTTTCCTGATGAGTCAATAGAGAAGCCGAACTTACACGTCGACGACATGAAGAAATTGTTTAATAAGAAAGATGGTTTTACTCGGATGAATGACGTCGATGTTGTCCGAGTATGCCTTCTATTACTTTTGTATGCCGGCTTTTTAGGCAGAGATGCCAGACAACCTATTCCTCAGGAGCTAATATTATTGGTAGAGGACCTAAATGCATGGAATCTGTTTCCGTGGGGTTCGTATATATGGAAAGCTACCTGGACTAAGTTGTCGTCTGCCTTTGATGACCGCAAAAGTTTGCGGGGCGATGGGTCGAAATACACTTTGTCAGGCTTTGTTTGGGCCTTTAAGGTAAGAATTTCTATATAATGTTTTCAAAATTATAATTAATTATTTAACAATTACTAATGTTTGTTATTATATTGTTTGTAGATTTGGATATTCGAGGCCTTTCCCGCCATGAAGACATATGCAATAAAAACTTCAAATGATATTCCCAGGGCTATTTCCTGGAAGAGGAAACGTCTGTTGGATTGGGAAGACTTAATACCATATGCGATAATAAATAATGTAAGTTAACACAAATACTATCATATATAAACAAGTTATTAATAGTAGACGTTTAACTTTGTTTGAGTTTTTATATTTTTAGGAGGCCAACATTCCATTAATGAGACTGACACCCACGGAGGCTGAGCTTGCCACTGATTGGTGGCAAGCTAGTCAGCATTTTCTTGATGGCACGAATGATGAGCAGCATCCACTTCCTCCACTTCGAGAGCCATCACCTCACCCAGAGCCATCACCTGATCGACCCGACTATACACCTCTACAACGAGAGCCATCACCTATCCCGTCACATCATCGAGCCTCATCTCCACCATCACCTCATGATAGGCGACCGACAAAGATGTCACGACTTCTATCTCCCTGTTCTCCACCTCTACGGGATGAGTTAAGGGAGTTACGTGATGAGGTCAATGCCTTACGTGAGGAGATCGGTACTCTACGCGATAACGATGGTGCATGGCGTGTGGAGGTGTCTACTTTACGTGGTGAGGTTGCCGCTCTACGTGAGATGGTAGTATCGTTACAGAATGAGGTTCATACTCTACGCAACGAGGTAAGTTTAAGATTTTCCATATTTAACTTGATGATAAATTTACTCGTAATTTCACTTAAATTAACCATTTCACTTAGATTGCTTAGTAAATTTATTCGGTTGCTGCCAATACTGCTAAACTGTTTATTAACACTGTGAAGTTAGTATTTGTCTTTTTGTTTTGTCTTTTGGTTGAAGTAAATTTATTCGGTTGCTGCCAATTCTGCTAAACTGTGTATTCTTTAACATTGTGAAGTTAGTATTTGTCTTTGTTTTGTCTTTTGGTTGAAAGTTTGAAATATATTTGTCTTTGTTTTCACTGTTTAAATATCATGTCTGTTTATTTACTGATATTTGTATTTAATTATTTAGCGGACCGATAAGGTGGATGCTTTACGTCGGGTTTTTCTTGCACAACATAGTTCACGCATCAGACGGCGTGCACGTGCTATTAAGTCTCCGTATACCCCAATAGTGCAAAGACACCGCAAGAAGAAGCCCGACTCGCCTGTCATCCCTCAAGAGTCCACTCCTATCGTTGAAGAGGCCCCTATCATTCCTCGAGAGTCCCCTCCCACCGTTCAAGAGGCCACTGTCATCGTTGAAGAGGTCCCTTCCACCATTCAAGAGCCCGATTCACATGGCGTCATATGTAGGATTATTGAGAAACCCTCTGACGTGCCGGACATGATGGATTCAAGTTGGCTCTCGTATTAGTTACCGGCCAGTACCATACCGGTATCTGAAGTGGAGAGGAAACAACTATCGGACACAATTCTGGATAACACCCTTTGGGCTAAGACCGCAGTTGATTTTTATCTACATGAGCGGAGCCAGGGGTGTTTCACTGACATATGCAAGCTCAACGATGATATCTATTTGTTGCTTGATCGGTCTTGGTGGGGCGTATTATTAGGGGTCGAAGACAATGGCTATTTCGATGGAGGGGTAAGTCTTATAATTTTCTTATATTTTAATTTGATTATTTTTTTTTTAAATTTATGTAAGTTACTAATATATGTCTTTTTTTTGTAAAACAACATATCGATGCGTGGGTGTCACGTCTTCTAATAATTAGGAAACTTAAGGAAAATAAAAGAAATACACAATATACAATTATGCCGACGTCTTTTAACGCCGTTCACTTGAAGAATCAACGAGATGAATCATTTGCGTTGGGCAATGGACAAGCTAAACTTTATCCTGCATGGTGGGAGGTCGATAAGGTTAGTGTTTATTTTAGATTGAGTTTAAAGGTATTCATAAATAAGTGTGCAAATGAAAGAATTATTACTTATGATTGCAGGTGTTTATCCCCTGTTTTGGAACGTAACCATTGGCTTCTCGTCGAGCTTCAGATCCCATCCCTTAAGGCAATAGGATATGACAGCATGATAAATTACATATCATTGGCTGGTTTAAGAGATATTATTAAGGTATGGAGCTCTTATTTGGCTAAATTCTTGGATGCGATAAATTATTGGACTCTTTCTGGAAACAAGAAGCCAAAGAAGCTCAATATTACAGTTAGCAGAGACGA